ACATGAAACTTGATATAAATCTAAAGTCTATTTATATGGTTATTTGACTATACTTATTTGACAATCCATGAACGATTTAAAATGTTGATAGCATATACAATTCTTGGAGAATTTCTTGGTCCTGAAGTACTATATTCTAAGTGCAATTTGTGCACATATGTATCTTACTGTAACCATAAGTATGATAATATGATAGCGAGAATCTCTATGGAGATATTGAAAAAGTCATTCCACGATATTATATGAAGACTTTACATATCTATCAGGAATGATGATTTCAAGCTGAAACAAATTCGTTCAAGTTAATATGGCTGATTTGTTTATCAAATCTATACCAATAATTCTTTGAAGACGGTGCACAAGATTTGAATGCAAAGACTCAAATATCTGAATTGATGTTCTCATCAGGGGGAGTCAATACACGTTGTACTTTTTTTTCTTACGAGTTTTTGTCCAACTGAGTTTTCCTTGCAAGGTTTTTAACGAGGCAACTCAAAGGCGTATTGTTAGATATGTGTACTCTTTTTCCTTCACTAGAATTGTTTTTCATTGAGTTTTATTTTAGTTAAGGCTTTAACGAAGCATATTATCCGGTGAATAGACATTTAAGGGAAAGTGTTATAAATCGTATTTTATTTATGGTAAATATCTATATTTTAGAGAAATTTTAGGGTTTATTACTTGGTGGCTAAATCATTTTTTCCCTTTAAATAAAAGGAATTCTACTACATTGTAATTCATCCCAAATGTTTTATAACATATTTTTCAACTGAACACACCAATTCATAGAATCGACTAAACATTTTTTTTTTTACTTTTAGCATTCCTTCACATGGTGAAATTTACGTTTAGTGCCAAATTTGTTTGGAAACTATCCAAAAAGATTGTGGATAAACAATGATAACTTTTCTTGTTCTCCAATACAACTAATTATTGTCTCTTTTTCTTTTGCAACAACTTTTATTTTCCTTCTAAGAATTTTTTAGAAATTTGTTTGTTCGAAAGAAACCGAAAACTTATCAAAAAACAATGTGTCTACTGTTTGGTTAAAAAAGAAATTAAACCAAATACTAAACCACAAAAATATTTTCGAAGAAATAATTATAAAATGTTCTCTGAGAAAAAAGAAAAACAGACATGTTTTCGAGAAATAATCCCAAAGTTTTGGGGCCCCCAGATTTTTCTTTCTTCTATCCATATTCGGTATTTGTATTGAGGCCCCGACTAATTTAAATTTATACCGCGCAAGGCAAACTGAAAGTGCACTCTAACAGGATATCATCCATAAAGCTCGAATTCGAAATATCTGATTAAGGTATGTTATATCATATCCATCCCTCTACAACTCTTGGAGGTGTAGCCAAGTTTTTACCAAAAATATTTTATAAGTTAATTTTTTTTTTAATATTTCAAAGTAGAAAAGTAAAAATATTTTATAAAAAATTATATAACTTACAGTTTGTTAATATAATCGTTTGAGCAAAAATTGGGGAAAGAGAATCACCTCCTTCCCCCCCCCCCCCCC